ATCTTAAGCGACATTCCGCTACTCAACAAAATACAGTCGTCAGTGACATTTTCTTCGCAAATATTGAAGCATTTAATTATGTCGTATTTTTCGAAGACATTGTTTTAAATGCTATTCTTTAATATATTTGATAAGACAACAGAGTAAATTAAGTTTATTACAAAAATGCTTCACTTTTTTGACAAGGATATAGACATGTGCTGTTTCTTGCATACTTTCTTTTAATATGGTCAACGTATTTTTTTACGACAAAAATTAGTAGTGTTCCTGGTTAGTGGTGTTAGAGAAAATGGGTTAAAAAATGATTAATTAATTAATTCTTTTAATTTATACAAATAAGCACATACTGTTATACATTTTTTGAGAAGCTCGTACTAAGCGGAATCAAACTTTATTTTTTTTTCTCAAATAGACGAGACATTTATAAAAATTCTGACTACGCTACTGAATTCTACGTAAAAATCTATATCGGATTGGCTTTTCATCTTTCAGAAATTTCGTAGAATACCCGAAATACGAGGGGTGCCCGAAATTTCAAATTTCAAAAATCACCCTGTATTTTAAAAACTAAGCAATTGATGAAAATGGTGTCTTTTGTTTCACAAAAAACTACCAAAGGTTTGCAACCCCAAAGCTCAATCGTCACTAACAACGGGCCTACCCCGAAAAAAATGGCACACAGTGTACACAACCGAAATTAAAGACCAATTCTCTCTCTACAAAGCCCACATAAAAAACTATTTATGAGCAAGTGTTTATGGTCATGTCATAATTTTTTATACCTATGCTTATTTATTTTGAGGTTGTTTCCACATGACTCCTGGATGTAGAGTTTTCTTATGTCACCACAACGGCATTTAAACTATATTGTTGTGCAGCGCAAACCATTTCAGACAGCTGCATCGCCTCAGGATACGATCTTTAGATTTGGGTCATATTATTTTGACGTTTGTCAATTCTGACGGTCGTTTATCAAGGTTCTCAAGTAATAGATGCAATTTTAGAGGTTTCTTTATACAGCTTGGCGGATAAATTTTAAGCATATTTAGCAGTTTCCGATTATAGAAATAATCCCGAAAAACCTTAAAACCGTCCTAGTTAGCAAAGATATATCTTATAAATTTATATAAATAATAAATTAATATTTTTGTTCGTATTTCATGTCCCACTTAACATAAATTCTTCTTCTTAATCGTATTCTCATGTCTGAGAAATCGTGATCTCACGGAATCGTGTACATCCGTCATCCATACTTGTCTATCCATTGCTTCCGTTAGTAAACCTTGCAGGGGCGTATCCGTGATTTTCTTTACTTGGTCTATCCATCTAACAGGTGACCTGCCCTCTGTCGTTTTTCCTTTCCCTGTATTATCAATTTCTCCAAGTTGTCGCCATCTCGTCTTGTGGTGTGTCCAAAGTATTTTAAGATTCGCCTCTTAGTATAGATTCATTGGTACGTTTCTCAGTCCATAAAATCCGTAGCATACGTCGCCAATACCACATCTCAAAGGCCTGGTGTTTTCATAGTCCAGGATTCCGCTCCGTACAGAAAGATTGAGAATACAAGAGATTTAACCAGTATAACATAAATCGATCACAAAATGATCATAAAGTGTTCTCTATTAAAAAGCTCTCGGTAGGTGTACTACAATAGCGAACTGATGTTGATGTCTTACACTATTTTTAAACAAAAATTTATAGATATATAGCTTCTTTGACAAGGATAACTTTAAACAAAACCATCTTACCTTTCGAGATGTAAGCTATATACTTAAAGCTTCTTTTGCCACAATGCCAAGACCGGAATTAATACAACAAATGAGGCGGAAATTATGCTTTGCTTTTTTCTACTAACTAAATTAGTTTTATGTCGCGCTTGGAGGAAACGTAGTCATTAACCTAACTGAATTTCAAACGGCAATGAAATCGTGATTTTTCAGTTTCAATTATTTTATCCATTACTTGTATTAACATGAATTTCAAGAATTAGAGTTGCTTGTAAGTTTTTCCGCCGAAATTTAAAGAAATATTAGAATTATCCACTTCTTTGGATATTTTGGGACACGGTGGGACAACTCGTCGCAGTTTCTTTTTCAGCAGTTTCAGCAGTTTTCTTTCATGGCCCATTCCTTGTATTCTCTGGAGCTGACTTTTGAGTGGTCACCACTTTCGCTAGGGTTTTGTTAGTTTTCTCCAGTCCCATTCGATTAAACTTTGTCTTCACCACAAACGAATAATGGAAAAGCAATATGGAATATGGTGCAAATGGTTGTGTGACTTCGCCGATCAACTAAGTTATTAATTAAAATATATCATTAGTGATTTAAAGATTTATGATTTCGGATTGCCTTGTGTAAAGCAGAGCATTAAAATTAAACTGACTGGATATCATCAGCAGATGTTTTTAAGTAGCGAAGATTATATGGTGGAATATTTTTTTTTACACAGTGAACAACAATATGGAACAACTTCACGTATTGGATTGCAAATAAAAATTCTCGCACATGTCCATCACAATTCTTTCTTCCTTTTTTCTTCCGCATTTTTTGCAGTAAATAGTGAATATACAGGGTTAATCCAAAAGTAGATGTCGATACGAAGTTCCTTTTTCCAATTCATGTAGCTTACTCGACACCTATTTTTTACTGTTCATGAGCACTGAGAAATTTAATTTTGAGATAAACAGGTAAATATCTAGTACCAGTAAAGCTCTTAAATTACAATTGCATTACTGTCAATAAAGAAAGTAAAGATGGCGTACCTTAATGAAACTCGAAGAGTTGAACTTTTAAAAACAAAACGTGACCTCAAGAAGAACTTTGTAAATTGTTACATGACCAGATCAACAATGGGTAAAATTGACAGGAAATTTATAGAAAAAGAAAATGTAAAATATAGTCTACGGCCAGGTCGCAAATGTTAAACATTTTATTTTTCCATCTTGTCTCTTCTGAAGTAGCTTCAAATAATAATGTTGAACAATGAACTGCTTGGCGTGTATTTAAAAAAGGAAAATATCATTCGTATAAGATTACATTACTATCGCAGACTACAGTTCTGTGAAACTATGATGGAAGTGCAACACAAATCCATTTTCTATCGTCCGATACTATTTAGTGATGAAGCTAAGTTTGGCTTGAAAGGCACGGTAAATAAACAAAAATTAAAGTATTGGAGTACAAATAATGCCCGATTGATGCACAATATCCACAAAAAATAAACATTGTGTTCGCATTTCACTCTGTACCTGCTTATATATTGTTTGAGGGGGGAGGAACTAAAAAAGGGGCACGAGCATCGTCTCAGATGGATTGGAGTCTTGAGTCGCGGTTAAGATTGTTTGTTTGCTTGTTTATTAGTTTCTATAGATTCTCGGATTTTTCTTTGATAACAGAATTGATTACATGCAAGAATTTTAGTTCTTCGGCGACTGTTGATGATTTTATTTGTTTTAGTTTTAATTCTCTTTGATGTTCTTTGAGCCTAGTTGATATTTTTCGTCCGGTCTATCCAAAGTATTCTTTGCTGCATATGGATGGAATGCTCCTGGCATCTCAAACGGATTTTGTTTTTGGCCGGATCGAAGATATTGAGAGATTTTTGGACAAGTGGTAAATTTGGTTATATTTCTTAAAAACTTTTGATATGTGATCAGTGATGTTTTGAATATAAGGAAGGACAACAGTATTACTAGAGAGAAGAGCAGATGTAACGTGACTCCAACTGAGATACTTTTACGGATCTCTAAACAAGAGGGCTAATAACTCATGATTTTTGGGACGGATGATGATGTGATAACGCAATAAGGTATCGGTCGTGTCCTTAGATTTCCTGTAAATACAGTGATAGGTCTGATTTTCTATTGATAAGAATATCTAAGAATCTATTAGTTTCTATTTCAGTGGTAAAACGTATGTTTGGGTGTATAAAATTTATATGGCTCAGAAAATCTAGTAGGGATTGTTGATCACGAGGCCAAATAACAAAAGTATCATCAACGTAGGTTTTTCATAATTTTGGTTTTAGATGAAAGGTGTCGATGGATTTTGAATTTGACCGTTATAAAAAAAATATGTTTCGGACTAGCATTTTTCAATGAATATGAAAAAATTTGGTTCCACATGCTCGGAATTTAATGTACCTAAATTAATGTGGAAGTAATTTAGTAAAAAGGGATTCTATGTTGACTCTAACCATAATATCCTGTGGAACTAATGCAACGCTTTTTAATTGTTCAATCGTTTGAAAGGAATTAAGTACAAAACCCTGTAAAGGGTTTAAATATAGATGCAAGATATTTTCCATTACATATTTCTTATTTAACGCACAAAATGCATTTTCTTCAAATCCAATTGATCTATTTTTGTTCAGCTTGATTTTTCAGTTCCCCCACATTTTAAATTAAAGTTTAATTGTCTGCGTTAGATCGCAGTCATTAAGTTTAATTTAATATTTGGTGCTCCTCTCAATATGTAAATATGTAATATATATAATAGAGTGAACGCAGCATTGTAGCGTTTACACATCCATTGATTTAAAAATAATCCGTTCACATTTCACATTACTACAGTCCCATAAATACCGATATAAAATGCTTACTCATTAAAATTGGATGGAGCGTCGATCTTCGCCAACATTCAATATGCAAATTTTGGGCTAATGCTAAAATTCTGTTAAAATAATTTTTAGTTTAATTTCCATATATTTGCGCTTTACACATACTCTCTAAATCTTTCAAGTATAGTCCGTAATATTCTACACCCTTTCTAGTTTTCTGGCAAATCTGTGACATGATGGAAACATTCTTGGCTTCATGGAAAATTGGGAGACACCACAGGTTTTATTAATGTTAGTGTTAGTATACTAGTTAATCCGTATCTGCCTTATTTTCTCGTCTAATCACAATATAATTGCGGTTGGAGTCTGTGGATTTCTTCACATTCCTTCAGGCTATGACTTTCTTTACGCTGCACTTACAAAAGCATTTCGTTGCTGTGTAGGCGGGTATGATCCAAACCAACCACGGGAAATATTACCTGGAACCCGCCTACCATCCCGACAAATCCGTAGCCCCGGGACATCCGCACTTGGTCTACAAACGGTCGGCCGTCTCGTCGATGGTGACGAAGAAGAAACGTAAGAAAAAAAGGAAACGTCAGAGGGCCAACTGCGGCACCAGGGAACCAAAGCGATGGACAGAGTAAGATCATCATTTAAAGCACCTCATTTAAAGCCATGTCGGCATTAAATGTTTCGTTTGTAGGTTGGAATGGAAAAGGCAGTTGGGCAAAGTGAAGGTGCAACAGAAAGCGCATAAGCACAAACACAGGGTGCAAATTTTAAACGTCAAACAATCGCAATTGAAAAAACTCAGGTATAAGCATATCAGCCAGAGGGAGAAGCGGTCGGTGAGCAAACCACAATACGTCGAAACCCTGTTGGTTGCCGATTCCAGTATGGTCGATTTTCACCAGGATGGTGACATAGAAACATACATTCTCACCATTATGAATATGGCAAGTAGTTTTGAGCAACTAATAATCACGGAAATTTAAATACCATTATTATCAATAGGTCCTTTAATTCTACTCGTTTTTTTTTTCTCATTCCTAATTTTCTATTCCCTTTTCAAAGTCACCAAACGAGAATTTGAAACATTAAATTCCAACTGCCACGTCGCGTCACGTCATCTGTCTTACTGGATGGCCCTTTGAGGCTGGGTTGTCTTCCTAATAACAATTTGTTTGGAACGTTATTTTAATATTATAAATCTAGTGCTATCCGAAATATTTTTGATAAAATGAAAAATTACCAAGCAGAAACAAGGGATTGTCAAATCAAAGAAAAGAAGACAAATGCCAGTAATCTTTCTCGAGTACTAGTACTATTACTTGTACATGTTTCGGTTAGGCTATCGCCTTCCACATTACGTCTGGAAGATCTGAAAGATTAAATCGATAGTACAGGGTGAGTAAAGGTCTTTGTCCCATTGGTTTCAAAAGTTATGACAACATGCATACAAACGTTAGAATGCACAATTTAAAATAATTCTAAAGTATACAGCGGTGGCTCAGAAAATCGTGAATGAAACATACATTTTTAGAAAATGGAAACCATATTTTAATTTTTTTGTAGTTCTTTCTAGAATTCTTCAACTTTATTTTTTAAGGCAGATCCCTCATATTTCATTTTAGCGGTATTCGAAGATGACGCTAAAGATAGGTGCCTGAGAATTGTACCGATTGTCACCTGCTATATTTGTGTTTGTGTACTCAGAATGGCTACGAAAAATTAAACTATTGGAAAAGCTATTAGGTTTAAGTGTGTATTATTATTTAAAAAAAAAAAGAAGAATTTTAAAAGCAATTTGAAATAAAATTGAAAAATGGGATGTTTCATTGAAAAAAATATGTTTTATTCGTCATGCTTTGTTGAGCCACCCTGTATACTTCAACATATTTTTTTCTCTATCGTTAACTCACCCTGTACATATGAAAAATCTGAAAGATGATGGTTGACAATATACAACTGCTTGCGTATCAATCCGCTCTGGTAGCCTTGGTTTTCCTTTCATTGAAATCTTTCTTTAGTTAGTAAAAAAATCTCGAACTTTTTTGCGAAACGAAACGATATTCGTGCCCTCGACGATGTTCAAAAATGGCACCTGAAACGGAAATTACTGTTAAATTTGTAGGCCACAATAGGCACATCGATTTTTAATTTGATTGTAGACCATTACTACCCGATCTAAATTGTATCGCTTCAGTATTGCGTGTAATGGAAAGGAGAAAGATCGATTCAATCAAATTATCGGAATGTTTTCGAAACGCTTGCAAATCGTTTCCGCCGACTTCGCCGAATTAGCACTCGAATAGAATACAGGCAGAATAACTCTAAAAAATACGATCAGTGCTGAGGATGGTAGAAGGTCGCTGATAAAACTAGCGAACTGGCCACAAATCCGATTTCTGATTAACGTCGTATTATGACACATAACTAGCATGATTGTTAAGACCTCTCAATGATCATGGATTTCAAAAGTTATGTGAAAACGGTAAATAGAGAACATGTAATAATTATTAGGATGCTTAAGTAAAGTTCGCCAACGATATACCGTTTTTGCAACCAAATATGGCTTTGACCTCGGAATTGTTAGGATGCCCAAATAAAGTTCGCCTAAGGATATACCGTTTTTACAACCTTTTATGGTTTTAACTTCGGAATTAATTTAATTGTTGTAAAGCAGAAGCGACCATTCGTTTCAGCAGCTGTACCACAAGTCAGGGCCGTATTTAGGATGTTAGCCGACAAGAACTGCGCCGTGCAGACTGTTGTATTTTAAGAGGAGGAAAATTTTCTTTGATTGAACTGTCTGTTATATTAATTCACATTAATGTACTTTTTATAAATCTTACTAAAGCAGTCCCTACTTGAGGTAGATCGATTTCAAGTTGAAACTGATTTGCAATTAACCGCCAAGAAAGGATGGACTGATGATAACAGCAGTAAATGTTCGTTGGATGTGCCGGTCTCGCGGGGCAAACGAATAATCATACTACATGCGGGCTCTATTAAAAACGCTTTGTTGCTTGGTTTTCTGAAAAATTGCTTCCTAATATTCCACTAAACCCTGTTGTCGTGATGGACAACGCCAGCTACCATTCTGCACAAGCGGAAAAAATAGCGGATTCATCATCGTCTAAAGAAGTCATTCAAAATGTTTTGCTTGAAAATGATATGTATTTTGAAAATTCCTACACAAAGAAGGAGTTTTAATCCGATAGAACTGATATGGGAACAGCTGAAACCCAGTTTAAGAAGAACCAATACCTCGCTGAAATTTAGTTCTGGGCAATCGAATTAACTAGAAGTGAAATAGGAAAAATATCTGCTTCTAGTTGGAAAAAATTTATAGATCATGTCATCGTAGAAGAAAATATTTACAGAAGTCGACGAGTGCCAGACGATAGTGACTACTTTGATGTAGAATAACTTATTTTTTTATAAATATTGTTTTATAGCTAAATATACTAAATTTACTTTAACGTAACAATGGAATTTTCACTGCACTGAATACTAATAATTATTGTGGGATAAAAAGAGAAACACAAGCGAGGTGGGATTGCGGTTAGGTTTTCATAAAAATTAACCAAAGTTAAATACCATACTATGTCGTAAAAACGGTATCTGTTGGGAGAAAAATAAAATTATTTCTTCTTTAATTTTTTAATTAATAATAATACATACCTTAACCTAATAGTTTTGGTTAAAAGTTGTTTTCCTTAAATGGCAAAATAACTTTATATTTTCTAAAGGATCTTACAAAAACCTACAGCTTTTATTAATTAAGTCATATATTGATTTTACTATTCCCTTCTGTAATATATGTAATTATACACCGCACTGGAAGTGTCACTTTACCACGCGAGTTTCTTGTCCAACAGATCTGAGTCATTTCGGAAATTTCCGGGCTATTACCGCGAGCATTTTGGAGGCAGTCAGATGTTTTTAGCCTTGAATTTTGACGTTTGCCAATTCTGATGGTCATGTCAGTGAATGTATTTGTGTTCTTCTGCTTCTTCTTATTCCTACGTTAAGTCCAATGACTTGTGTTTACTGGTTAATATTTAATCTTATTTGTGATTCCGATGACCAGCTATCTTGCCATCTTTTTTGTGGTCTTTCTCTTGATCTTTTTCCCTCGAGTTTTCCATCTCTTGTGATATTTTCTAATCTGGGCTCTTCCATTCTCGTTACGTGTTGATTCCAATTTCTTATTCTCTCTCGTCCCCATCTTACTACATCTTAAATATTACATTGTTGTCGGATATCTTCGTTTCTTACATGGTCTCGTCTAGTCTTTCATATTATGCATATTAATGTTTTCAGTTCAGTTTTGTTTTCTTTGTATCGGCTCTGCTTTCTATGGCATACGTAAATATTGGTCTTATATATGGTTTATAGATTCTTGTTTTCGTTTCTATTCTATTCTTAGATGTTTATTTCTCTACACTATATCCCTTAATGCACCTGTTGTGGCTGCTGCTTTCCTTACTTGGTATATCATCTCTTGGTAAATACCTCGGTGGATTGTTACATCTACTCCTAAGTATCTTGATGACATTACTTGCTTTATGATAGATAATGTTAGACATTCAGTTTTCTCTCTTGATATTGCCATATTGTATTCTTTTGCGGTTTTATTAAATATGTGTAATATGCTTCGCTATTAGATATCAGTACCGCATCGTATTTATGTTTCCTATTTTGTATCCTGTTAGTCTTTTTACTTTTTCTATCATTTTATCCATAATCAGGTTAAATAGAAACGGACTTAAGCTGTCTTCTTGTCTTATTCCTGTGTTTACCTTTATTTCTTCAGATACCTTTCCCTCAGCTTTTATCTTAGTAGAGCGGTTGTCATTGAGTTCTTCTATGGTTCTTATTATTTTAGGAGATACATTTTTTTCTTTAAGTAAGTATACTATGTCATTAAGTTGTATTTTATCAAACGCTTTTATTAGGTTCACGAAACCCATGAAGATAGGGTTGTATTGACTTTTAAACTAACTGGCTAGTTATAAAGATGACATCAGTTGTTGATCTGTTCTTTCTAAAACCTTGCTGTTTTTCGAATATCGGAATGGTTGCTCTTAGTCCTTCGGCTATGATTTTGGTGAAAATTTTCGATATTGTATAAAGCAATGATGTTCCCCTATAGTTCGATGGCTTGTTCTTGTCTCCTTTTTGAAATATTAATATAATCAAACTTTTATTCCACTCTAGAGGTATCTTATCTTCTTTAATTATTTTATTGAAAATGTTTGTTACTTTTAGTCCTCCATATTTAATTTGTTCTTTTGTGATCGTGTCTTTTTTCTGGTGCTTTTCGTTTTATCAGTTCTCGTATTGCGTTCTTCACGTGGTTTTCTGTTATTATCCAATTTGAGCCCATTGTTTCTGTTTTGTCTTGAGCATTATTTTCTTTTGAGTTGTATAGATTTTTAACTATTTTGTGCATGCTTTCATTTTTATTCAGTTAATTTTTATGTATTCATTTATAGGTCTTTTAGTTGATCGTTATAGTTTCCACACTCTTTTCTGACTTTCATAAAAATCGTTCTACATGTCTTTCGTGAATCTTCCCCAATATTCCTCTTTGATGGTTTTTATCCATGCGCTCTATTTCTTGTTGTTATATAGGTTGCGTGTGTTTCTGCTGTTTTGTTGCTTCTATGTTTTAGGTATGCGTCTCTTTTTTCTTTGCATATGACTTTTACCTCTTCCGTAAACCAGGGTTTGTTGGCGTTTTTGTTATTTACATTTACCTTTCTTGTTCCAAGTGCTTCTCTTGAAGATGTTATTATGTTGTTTGTTATTTTTTTCTAGCATTGTTCCACATCATCGTTATTGTGTGTGTGTTATTTCGTTTTCTTCTATTTTTAATTCTAGTCTGTTTTGATACAGAGTTTTTGTGCTTTCGTTTTCTAGTGATTCTATATTAGTTTTCTCTATG